GGAAAGAGGAGGGCACTGTCCCCTCTGGTGCTGGCACAGTGGTGGCACCTGCTTGTTCGCCTGCCTGTCAGTTCTTACTCTGGCGCACTGGAGAGCGCTCTGGCATGGGCCTTGCACAGCCTCATCGTCCTTTTTGCAAACAGTGTAGTGTTGTAATTCCCAGTGAGGTGCTTATCGCTGCCGATTGTGGATGTGATTGATAGTGATAGGATAAAGGTCACGGGGTCCAGCTTCCTGTGTAGGATCCTGGGAAATACAGAAGCAAAAGGCATTTTACTATAAAGTCTGTCCTTCTGCAAAGGCAGGAGAGGAAAATGAGAATCTTGTGTCTGTTTTTGCTGTCTCTCCTCCTAAGGGACAAGTCTGAAACGCATCAGGGAGCAAAGGCTGCGATGAAAACGTCACATCAAAGCACAGCAGGAAAGTTAACGCTCACCTTTTGCCAGGCAGTGAAGGAAAGCTCACCGTGCCTTGAAGTGAGGAGTGGGTGATGAAAAGCATGCAGCAGTGCTGGAGGAAGCAGTGGAAGGGCCGTTGATTCAGTGGTGCGGGTTAGCAAAGAGCCGCTGCCTTCAGCTGGCGTGGCAGCAAGGCCCAGGGGATGGCAGGGCCCAGAGGAGAGAACCTGTAAGGGGAGTGGTGGTGGGAGTGAGGGAGGAAGGTGACCAGCTGGTCCCCGGGGGAGGCAGCTGCAGCTGGGGCCTGCTTTGCATGTCTCTGTCTGGGGCCACCTGCTTGCATTAAGAAGTTCCTGGGTTGGGGGAGGACCGCAGTTAACAGATGTCATTTGCTCAAAGATTGTCTCTTCGGTTGTGTTTGTGGTCTCAGCATTTACAAGCAAAAGCTTGGCCTCTGCCTTCCTCCTGTCTCCCCGTGCCGTGTCGGGGTTGGCCTCCCAAAGAAGCTGGCTAGAGTAATGCCCGGAGCACGCTCAGCTGGGTGCAGTGTGGCCGTGTAGGCGCAGTGATGCTGGAGCGCCCGTGCGCCTGGGCAGCGCTGGGTTGGATGCGCTGACTCGGTGAACGGGATGGCTTGCACGTGGTGTGGGATTGGTCAAAGCAATATTTTAGTGCTGGCATGTTCCAGGCAAGCCCTGTGTAGATTCACGTCTGATGGAGAGTAGCCTAGGGTGCACTAGTTGTGATCATCTGCTTGTGGGAGGCTTCACCAGGATGAGCAGGCAAAACTATTTTTAAAGCTGGGAGGAAGGCTAAAAACTGCCTTTAATCCCCGTTTTCCTCTCTAATCCTTTGCCAGTGCAGAGAAAGGGCACCCTGGTGCTGTGGGAAGCAGCAGATGTAGCCATGTTTACTGGGGGAGCCTGTTTGCTTGTGCCCCCAGTTTTAGCAATAGCGCAAGCACCCTGCAGCTCGGTGCCCCAGCTGGCCTGCTCCACTGTCCTCGCCTGGTCCTTACTGAGCTGGTTTGCTGAGCTGAAGAGCTCCTTTGATTTGTGGGCTGCTCCCTGCTGCTGTGGATGAATTGCGTGAAGTCTGCGTTTCTTTTAATACCTCTTCTCAGAAGTGCCAAGCCTGTATGAAGAGCAGAGAGCACAGCCCAGGCAAACGTGCTGCTGGTTGTCTAGGAAACCTGTGGATGGCAGCGTTCAGCGGAGTCTGTGCACAGTGGCAGGTTACATGTCACCTCTGAAACCTGCAGGAGGAACTGTCAGTGAGCACAGGAATGTCCTTGGGAAATCTCGCAGAAGTCCCTCCGCGGTTACTCACAAATGACCTCAGTAACCTCAGCCCAATCTCTTTAATGTGCTAAGAAGGATCAAGTGATTCCTCCAGGTGGAGAACAATGCTCAAGCGAGTACATGGTTGCTAGATTTCTCCTGTGGGGCCTATGAATACATTCGGCATGTGTCTTTATAGGAAAGATAAGCTCACTTTTTGAAAACTAGCTACATATGTGATTCTGTTTTGGAATGTAACTGAGGGGCTGTTTTTAAATGAAGAAGTTCACCTGACTCAGCAGCGTGGCTCCCTGCGTCTGCTATGAGTCACCTTTGCTAACTTGGACCAAAAGAAATTTCTACTCAAGCTGGCATGGAGGGACTGAGAAAGCTTTGGGAGAGCAAGTGGGATTTTTCTCAGCACCTTGCATCATTGTTGTCAGCGGTGGCATTGAGCGATTTTTAACTCCAAGGTTGGATTCTGTCCCATATTGCTGGGATGTAAAAGCTTCCATTATCTCTGGAACAATTCCTGGCAGCAAGCTGATGTGGTTGTATCTGAAGATAGAGTTTGTACTGGAAAGCAAAGAGCATGAGCACCCAGGCTGACTTTATGGAGATGGTGGTTAAAATTGGAGGCTGAGTGAGGGAACATCTTTAAAGAAAGAGAGATGCGTTTGAGGTCTCACTGATATATTCCAGTGTATCAGATTTCATGGGCAGCCCTGAAATAATGACCCGTTCCTTTTCAACAACTGAAGCAAGATCCTTAGGAAAAGTCTGTTGCGGCTCAGAATTTGGTCCCCCTTTCAGGACGGAATTTTCTTTTTTGCTGTATGAAGGAGTATACCATAATCCCTTAGATAATAACCCTACTCTGAGCAGGCACACCCAATCCATTGTTTCCTCAAGGAAATACTTTTGCTAGTATCTAGGCTGAGTTGTTGTTAGTGTCTCCTCTGAAGTCAGATCACATCCAGATTCTTGCCTAGCTGACTTGCATCATGATGCATAAAAGAACATCCCCAGCTAGAACTGAGCTCTTTTGAGTGAAACCCTGAGAAATCCAGTTGCATTTCAGGTATTGAGCAGAGTGAACCATCCCTCCTGCCAAGTCTTCTTTCACCCCAGTCCAGTGTCTGAGAAAACAGTTACCCCGGCAGCAGCTGGCGTGCACAAATTGCTGAACCAGAGCAGGCACACAGCAGTGAGCTCTGTAAATGCGCTCAGCTATTGAGGATGGGGAAAACCAGGCTATGTTAAAGCACGAAAGAAGAAGCACGTGTGATTCTTGTAGGGGCATCTCTGCTCATGTAGCGTGACCTCTCTTGGGTATATTGCTCTCTTGGCTCTTCCTGGAAGCGGGATGATTTGCTTCGGGGGTAAGAATTTCCTGGGCTTTTTTGTGATGTGATTTTAATTGTCCTTATCCCCTTTATCAGGCTGGGTTAAGCTTTTTTTAGAACTAGCAAAGAGGAAGTCAGGAAGTCTCTTTATTCAGTAAAAACAACCAGATTTCTCAGTACTGCTGTGAGTGTCATCTGAAACAGGGAACCTGAGGGCAGCTGGAACCGGGTCTTTTTTGTGTCCCTCCTGGCAGCCCAGGATTTTTCTGTCAGCTCTGTCAATAAGAGAGGAACAAATCCTGCCACTACTCAAGGGGTTAATCCATGAGTCCAGGCAATGCTGAAATGTGGTGCGCCTCTCTCAATTTCCCTGCCACCTGCAACCAAATGTACAGTTCTTAATTTCTTCAGGTTTGTGTAACTGGGTGCTTTTCAACATACACACCGTGTTCCAGCCCAGAAGCAGCTGCATTTTGGGTGTCAGCGAAGAGTCCTGTGCATCTGACTCGTGAATTGCTTTTGAATCCTTTGGGTCAACAAATTCAGTCCTGTGGGATTCTTACTGTTGATTCAGGGATTTAATTCACTTCTGGTAGCTTCTGAATCGTCTCAGCAAAGGTGCTTTCATCGTACCAGTTGTTTCCTACGTGCGTCTGAGTTCAGTGACGGAAGTGATGTTTTAAAGCATTTTTAGTTTTTTTTTTTTTAAGGATTAATTAATATTTTTCCCTGTGTTAAGAGGGAACTGTGACTCCAGTCTATTGGATTGCAATTTTCCTACCTCTGGGAAGACACACAATTCCTTCTTTAGCAAGACAAGTCATTTGGTAAGGGCTTGGGTCTCTGCTGTCTTCCAGTGTGTACTACCCCTGCGTTATTGTGAGCAGTACATGCTTTTTATAGCATAAAATAACAAGGAGGGAGTTTCCCTGACTCACTGACTTGTGATTTCGGCAGTGTGGCTGGACTTTCACTTGCATTACTTAATGCTGAGTGTTAGAAATAGCCTGGGGAGGAGCTGATGAAGTGATACTGCTTAGCGGTTGCAGCTGCTCTCTGACCAGGGGCCCAAAGCTCCTGCTCTGTGGATGGAAAAAAGCCTCAGGAAGTTGCCTTTGGTGAGAGGGTTTACTGACTGAGACACTGTACTTGTTACTTGTCAGTGTAAACATCAGCCTTTCATTCTAAGAGGTCATCTTGAGTGTTTTTGTTAAAAAAAAAAAAAAAAAAGCCTGCAGAAGCACATTTTTTGGCGTTTACACATCCAAACGTACCTTGCAACTTTCTTGTCGCTTCTGACAGAGTTGCTCCTATCTGAATACATATTTCTGACAACTGATACTCCTCTGGCAACACTGTTAAGCAGCTTGAGTGGAGAGAGCCAGAAGCGAGTCCTCCAAGGTTTCCTTCCCCAAAGTTGCTGTTACACAGGCAAATCATATTACCCTTTGGTACTCTCACTCCCACTTCATGGCTGTTAATGGAAATTGTTTGCTGCGCACAGGGCAGTAGAGGGAGTTGATGATGAGGAATGCTCTGCAAGCTCTTGAGTGTACCTGCCACTTGCAGGTTGTTAATCACTGTCAAGAATGTAATTGGTTTTTTGTAAGAATGTCTACTTTTATCTACAGCAGCTCAGGGGACAGAGAGCAGCCCCGTTGCTGTCCGTGTGCCTGTCTTCCACTTCATAGTATAGCGTGTCTTGTCCCCAGATCCTTGAAATGAATAGTCAAAATGCTTGTATGCCCCTGAAGAGTTAACGAACTTCCTCTATGAGGAACGGAGCACTTCCTCATCCTGAAAATGCTCAAATACTTGACGCATAGCGAAGTGCTCGGCAGAGTGCCTGTTAATGTGGATGTGGCATGGGCTGTTAGTGTATGTCACGATGTTGCCTTAATGGGTGCTATACTTCTCTTCTCTCAGCTGAAACACTACTGCTCTTAACAGCCTCTGATAAAGGGTGTGAGTAAAGCAGGCAAGAAACTGGCTGGAAAAGAGGTCCTCAGTCTTTGCTGGCCTGCACTAAACAAAAAGTGTATTGCAGGCACCTTCATTCTTGTTCTGACTGTCACCTGAGACCATGTTGGCAGTGGCTGCCAGTCACCCCAAGCATTATTGTGGGGCCTCTTGTCCGCAAACCATGGATAGGTGACCCCAGGGCTAAAGCATAGGAAGGTGTAAGGCCCTTTAGTTCAGTATTTCTAGCTTCTGTATCATCAAAGGTTTCAGTCTGACCAAAGTCTCCTTGGAGAGAATGTAACACCGTTGTCCTGCTCTGCAGCTCCTGTTCTTTCGTATTTGATGCTCATTAGGAACTTACTATGTTTCTCTGCAGGAAAGAGCACTGGAAACTGCTAGGCAATCTGAAGACCACAGTGGAAGGGTTGGTGTCCACCAGCAACCCAAATGTCTGGTCTAAGTATGGCGGCTTGGAACGGCTCTGCAGAGACATGCACAGCATCCTTTACCATGGGCTCATCCATGACAAGGTAGGTCTCTGTCCTTCTGACATAGCTGCCTGTCTGAGCAGCTTTGGTGTCAGTCACTGAGGAGCTCAGACAGCCCTATCTCCTTGTAATTTTCTTCGACGTTCATAGTATAGATTGAGTACAGTGCTTGTATCAGTGTGGGAAATGATTAGAGCAGGAGATGAGCTTGCCTTACAAGCACTGTAGTTGTAGGGAGGACTCGTACGTGTGTTCTTTCAGTCACATATGCTTTTGACATGTTTTTTCTAAGTACCTGTGTCCTCTCTTCTTTCATCCTGCTGCAACCTGCAGCGAAATGTTAAAGCTGAATTTACAATGAGTCAGCCCCATATCATGTGTACTTGGACAATTCCCCAGTGAGGTCTGGCAAGAGAATCCTCGTATCTTTACTGTTTCTGATTAGCTTTGTTAATAATTGGGGCCAACAGCCTAGTCTGCACTCTGCATGAATGGGATCTCTTTCCGTGCTCTCATCATCCCTTGCAGTTGCTCATCCAGCCATTCCCTCCTCCATGACTACCTGAAAGCATTTTTCCTTTCCACTCTGGAGAGCGCTTGTGGGCAGAGGCATGAAGATCTCTCCTTCAGCTTACTATTTCTGCCACAATTACTTCAAAATGGAAAGTTAAAGTAAGCCTGTGGGACATGCTTTGGGGCAAGCTTCCCATCAGCCAGCTCTGCAACTGAATGAGCAGAGCAGAGAAAGCTCAAAAGGTTTACCCAGGGCCAGCTTGCGTCCAGACGTAATAAAACTGCGTTTATATAGCGCTGCACCCAAGCTAATAGGCCTCCAGAAAGAGTCAGGCAGGCAGGCCCTCCCAGCATGGCACTTTGCTACCTGGATTTGTTAGGTGAGGTGACGCTCATTAAGGACGGCGTGCTGTTGCTGTTAGGCCCCAGTGGCGCAGGCTAGTGACCTTTGCTGGGAGATAAGCGGAGAAAGAAGTTACCTCTTAAATGCAAGGTGTACAGTGCTCCTTTCTGACAGACAGTCTTGAATGATTGATCCTTGTCTGTGTATCAGCTGCTTTTCATTCCAGAGCTTAAGGAAAATTAGACCTGCAAAGCAGACAACGTTACCTTTCTTGATGCTTTTGTCGCTATGTAAAGGCAGTTCTTTTAGTTAAAAGTCTCCTGTGCTTGGGGATGTGTGACGCTACAGAAGTCTCGATCTAAAATAGCTGTAAAGGGAGGCTGATTAAAAAATATAAAGTTTCCTAACAGAAGTGTTTTTGCATTTGTTCCAGCCAAACACTTCCTTTTTATTTTATTTTTTTAATGTCAACTTTGTTTCTACAATGAGAAATTCGATATTACATGTACATGTTAAGAGAACTAGGGGGAGAGGTTTTTTAACCTTTGAGTGACTTTTATTTCTTTGTCAAAAAAAATCCAGCTGCATCTAAAAGACTAAAATTTCCATGTTGATTTTTTAGGCTTCAAAGACCCAAACAAAACCCCAAAACAAAGAAACCACAAAACAGAACCTATGCGTCTGACATTTGTGAAAGAGGAAATAGAGATGGAGGAAAAAAATCAGCATTTTGGTGAAGAGAGGCATTTCAGGGCTGTGTTTACACACGATAAAGTGATGAGGAAAATAGCAACTTTTGTACAGTTCCTCTTTAACTGGAAGAGTAACTAAAAAAAAGTAGCTGGTTGTCTGAATAAAGGTGAGGCAAACGGCAACAAAGAGCTAATAGAAATGCAATGCTAAGAGCATGCTGCATCGAATTTCTTATCTGCAGTGCTCAGCCCTGCTGGTGTCCTTGTTGGTGGTTTGCCATATTAGAAGACAGCAATTGTTGCTGTTTTTGCTGGGATGTACTTCCATGTTGCCCTTTGTGTTCCCTTGCTAAAGTCTGACTCTTTGTGCAGAGCTGAGTCGTCAGGACTCTCCTCCAGGTCCTGCTCTAGCAGGAAGAGGAATGATGATAATGGGAACTCAACTTTGGACTTGGCAAACCTTCAAACGCAATAAGCAAAGAGGGATGTGTATGTGACGCAGCGATGCACGGAGTGATTGGGAGGATTCAGACAGAGGGCTGAGTCCCCAACTGTGCTGTGCCATAAATGCAGGTAGCATCTGAGAACTGTTCCCTTCTGTCTATCTGCATTCCCCCTTTTCTGCCCAGCAGTGGTGGTGTTGGCTCTACTCCGTGATCTACTGATGAGCTACAGTTGGCATAGCGTGTTTTTAGGATCCTTCTGCACCACAGCAGGGGTGTGGGCCTTTCAGTGCTGTGTCCCTTCCCTGTCTTAAGATATATCCCTATCTCCGTTGTATGATGGACTGGGATCTTGATGGAAGAAAAAAAGCTTGGGGGATCTGTTGTCTTGCTATAGCTTCACTTGTGGAGCTGAATGCACAACTGATGGGTCAGTGTGGCAGGGGCAGCAAATGACTTATCTACTTCAGGCCAGTGTTTCTTTACTTGATCTCTTTCCCCCTTTTGTATCTTCAAAACTTCCTTTTATACTCTCCTTTCATTATTTTTTCTCTCTTGTGCAGCGCCGTTGCTCCTCTTCTCTCTGTTTTCTATGGGCCCATTTTCCCACCTTGCTAGGGTTAGAGGCTGTCCGCTCATGGTGACACGGGGCTAGCGGGAAATATCTTTTAGCTGGTGCTGAGGTTCTGCAGGGCCAGGGACTCAACTTGCCATGGTGCTTTGCCCCTGGAGTTGACTACGTGAGAGACATATAGCCTGTTGCAGGAGCAGGGAGGGCAACTTCAATTCAAAGGCCTGTTCTTCCTTGTAGCAGCCCCATGGCAGCAAGGATGATGAGATAAACCCAGGGCTACACAACTACCTTGTCCAGGGAGAAGGGTGATGGGGCCTTACTGAGCAAGTCTGTAGTTCTTTCATGTGATGAAAGGTGAATGCCCTGGATCAGGCTTCCAGGACTGGCAGTCCAGTGCTGGGATTGCCCAGTCTGTGGCTGCTTGGGCTCTGTATATCCTTCCAGTTGTTTCTCCTCTGCCAGTGATCTCACCTACTCTATCAAGTGTGCTGTGTCTGCTTCTTCTTTGGATATGAAGAGTTCTCAGGACAAGCCAGAGGTGGGTGTTGCTGTCCGAATAGTTCTCCGTCCTGAAGCCTTTAGGCAGGAGGCTGTTGGGAGCAGGCTTGTGGGCTGTATAATCAGTCCTGGCAGGTTGTAGGTTGAATGCCCTATTCTAGATGGCCAACTCTCTTATTTTGCATTTGCTCGGGAGGATTTAATCACTCCTTCCCTCTCAGTGCCTGTTGAATCATGTGGCAGCTCTGCTGGAGGTGTCCGATGTCCAGATTCACTGCTCTGAACTTGCTGCACCAGGCAGCATTGCAGTGGGACTTTGGTGGAGTCTAACTCTGTGTTTCCTGGGCAGGTGTGTTGCAGACAGAAGGATTACTGGCAGTTTGTGAAAGACATTCGCTGGCTGAGTCCCAGCTCTGCTCATCACGTGGAAAAGGTGAGTTCTGGTGGGGTGGCTTTGCATACTGAGCAGGGAAGGAAGAGGGTGGCTGGGGTGTGAGCCTCCCTGGTGAATTAGCGTTGCCTTGACTGTTGGCCTGCCGTGGATCAAGTGGCAGGCAGTGGGGCTGATGGGGAGGGGACAGCTTGCTCAGCCCCTCAAATATGGGGGCTGAGCCAAGCAGGGCAGCCATGTGTTTGTGTACAAGCCACGTCCCAGGAGCTCTGCATGGTTTCAGCTTAGACAATCGGCTGCTTATTTCTCACAGGCCAGTCTCCAACTCCGCGTGGTTGGGTATAACAGGGATCACCAAGGGAACCAGCACAAGTGGTGCTTCTCTATGTTGATGGGTGATTTATGCAGCTGTACAAATCTCTAAAGGTTTCGGCTGTCCCATTTCCTGGTTGTGTCTTGGCCCGATTATTCACTTGGTTCTTCTATTCCTGGCTTGTGCCCTCTGCTGACACAGGGACATACCTGTGTCTCGCTCCTCAGCTGCCCTGTGCCCTGACAGACCCCTCAGCGCAGAACACTCTCTCTGTGGCACAGATACAGAAGCGTGAGCAGGGTCTGTGGCCTCTGCTGCAGTCTTCTCTGGGGAGTGGTGAGGAAGAATGCAAGGGGCTGACCACTGGTGGTCTGTATGTGCAACGTGCTCCTGGGCCTGTGCTCAAGGCCAGCTCAGGGAGGATGCGAGGTGTGACTGCCCTCGGCAGTGCAATCCAGCTCTTTAACTCAAGCTGCAACTGCTCAGGCTCTTAGCTGTAGTGTTCCTCAGTTAATATGTCAGCAAGATGACGATTGTCCCCTCAGGAAAGCAATTGCATTTGGGAGTGTGGGGTTCTGCGAGGTCAGGGCTGTAACACATGGGTGGGAGAGCACGCAGGAGAAATATGTAGTGCTGGTGGCTGTAGGGAGAACTTTGGTCACTGGCGCTGGTTGACCTTTGAAGTGTTGTTCTTCTCCAGTGCTTTTGTCTCCCTGTCTTGCCTTGGTCAGTGGCTAGGAAGCTGCTAGGACGTGACTGTGTTCCCACTGACAGTTACTGGTGCTGGAAAGCTGCCGTTATCTGGGGCCAAAGTGTGAGCTGTAAAGGTGGAATAATCTCCTCTATTAGTCTCTGCATACCTTAACTGGTGTGTGGTGTTCATTTGCAGTTCATCAGCCTGCATGAGAACGGCCAGCCCAACACAGACGGCCTAAGCGATCAAGCTGTTGCGAAGCTGTGGCTGCAACACAGCCTGCAGTTCCACTGCCTCTCGGCACAGCTGAAACCCCTCCTGGGCAACAGGCAGTACATAAGAAAATTCTATGCAGGTAAATAGAGATGGGCCTTTTTCCTGTTCTTATGAAAATGTCTAGCTGGGCCTTTCCTCCCTACTAGGGACTGGGCTGGGTTTCAGAGCAAAAGGAGGTATGTTGGGGAAACTACAGTGCCTGCTGGAGATGGAGACCAGGCTAGGAGGGTGGTGAGGGAGCTGGGCCTCCCACGGATGCAGAGTTGCTCAGGAGCATCACCCGGCCCTGCTGGCTCAACCCCTCTGGTGGCATTCCAAGCCACGTGCCGTCTGCAAGCGAGGGAGGTAGCAGGAGGGGTGGTTTGCATTGGAGCGATCTGTGCTGTCAAAGTGGGCGACCTGAATGCTGGAGGCTCAGCTTGGATGCACATAGGAGTTGCTGGGCTTGGGCTTTCTGCAGTGAGCCTGTCTGGAGCGTGCTTGGTCCTACCTGTTTCTGGGCTTTCCTCACTGTCCAAATGAGAGCTTGAGCCTGTGTGAAGGCACAGAGCATTGTCAGCTTCTCCCTCCTGATATCTCAGAAGTGTGGGCTGTAGCAGCTTTTTGTGTGGGCTTGAAGGTTTCTGCTGCAGGTAGTGAATCGGCCTGGTGTCGAGTGAGGGCTGAGTCTATACATAACCCTTTGTGTCTAGGGTTGCGTGAGAGGCCTTGGGGAAAATGTTTTGTCCTTTGAAGAGAAACGAAATGGGGAAAGAAGTTCGGCTTTGAATCATCTCCTCTTTCAAAAATATTTTGAGCCTTTTTTCTCCGTGTGAAGAATTCTGAACAAAGAGCTCAAGCTCTGACCTTAGATGACATATGGAGATGCAGCTGCATATCTACTTTGTAGATAAAAATTGAAGCAAAAACTTTGCGCAACTCTATGTGTGATAATAATTTTTTGGAAAGCTTGACGTTTTATCAAAAAGAAAAAGTTTGTAGCGAGGACAAAAACACCTGTGTTCGTCTGTGACAGGATCTTTCTTTAATCCTGTGCTTTTGAGTAATAGGGAGAGAAGTTTTTCAGCAGCCCCTTTTTAATCAAAACAAAAACCTTAGCCCAGAATGTAATAATTTGGAGTGGGAACCTTTCAGCTAAGGTTTAGGCTGGATCTGGGAGACTCTCTCGCCTCCTTGGCTAGAGGGTTAGGGCCTAGTCCAGCACCTTGCACTTCCCAACTCCTTCGTGCTAGGGGCAGTGGGTGGGAGAGACCCCACTGAGCAGCACTCTCCTCTCTGCAGATACTGCCTTCCTGCTCAGTGACGCCCACGTCACGGCCATGTTACAGTGCCTGGAGGCTGTGGAACAGAACAACCCCAGGCTCCTGGCTCAGATCGACACATCCATGGTGAGTTGAGGCCTCGGCTTTGCGCCTCTGGCTCTCTCCAGAACACTGTCCGCCTGTGACAGCTTGTACAATGTCTCATTCAGAGCACACAGAGCCCTTGGACAGGGGCCTGGACTTGGAAGTAGCAAAAGGAGCTCCAAGAGAGAAGGAAGGTGGTGAACTTTTCCCTGCGCTGTCTGTATGAGCCTGGCCGGATGTCGGGGTAGGGGGAGATGGCTGGTTGGAGCCCATATTCAAGCACCTCCATTCTGACTGGCTTCTAGGATTTGAGTGTGAGGACCTGGTAGCAGGAACCAGTTCTGTGTAAGAAACACCTTTAAAATGCTCTTCAGAAGTCCCTGTAGGCTTCAGGGCTAGCAAACAGAGCTGCCTGGTACTGAGGGACAGCCATCCTCAGAGGGGAAAGGCAGGCACCCAAGGCCTAGGGCACCTGGGTTCCTGCTCCTGGTGACGCCACTGACTCCTGGTGCAGCCCTGTGCCAGTCACCCCTCCAGAGGAGGGCAACAGTGGCTGCTTTCTTTGCAGAGAGCTCCTCAGAGAAGAGATACTAATGACGTTTTCATTAAATCGGGGCTGTGTTCTTTCAGCTGGCCGGCACGTCACTGCCATCCGTGTGTGCGTCAGGTCCCTCTGCTGGGACAAGAGAGACACGCGACCGCGACGCTGGAGGACATGAGAGCCGTCTGCCTGGGGCACTAGGCTGCCTGGATCATTGCACTGAGAGCCTGGTAATTTCCAGATGGGAGACTGTCATGTAGCTGTAAATAGAGAGCCATTTCCTTTCTATGCCATACCATTTTTTTTTCTCCCCCCACCCTGCAGACCTAGCTGCCTCCCTCTGGGCGCTAGAGCTGCAGCTATCTTCACTGGCTGGAGACCAGGTGCTCACATGGGGCACTGCAGATCGATTCCTTTCTGTCTCCGTAGCTGCTCCTTTGACGTGTAGCCCTGTAGGTGCTGGTTTATTAATGATGCCACCTCTGTTCAGTTTACGAGGAAGAGTGAAGATCCGTCTCCAGTGACAAAGAGTCAGAGCCTGACTACGCTCCCTGGATCTCTGCATATCGCATCTGCACACTGCACACAACAGCGTTACTTTGGATCCTTCTCTGGCCTGCACCACCCAGCCTCTTCTGGCCTCTCAGGTAATGAGAGTGGGCTGGGAAGCTCGGAACAGGCCCCTTGTTCATTCAGCATCTGTTCATAGAATCCATAGTTTTCTCTGGATCGTCTCTCAGATGTCAAAATGCAGCCCTAAGGAGCACATGTTTGCAGCTCACTCAAGCTTCTGAACAAGCATGTTATAAAGCCCTTACCCCTCTGTGCAGCTGGCAGTAACACAGCGGGGTAAACGATCCTTGGGCGTGCTGTGAGCTTCCTGAGTTTCTGCACAAAGCAGAAGTAGTATGTGTGTGCTGTGGCCTTTTGGGCTGCTGCTTTGGAAATGGAGCTGCAGTTAGTACGAGGCCTTGCCTTTTTTCTGCTGTTAGATTCATTGCGCTGGACTGGTGCAGGGAGATCTCTGCCTGTTTTAATACGGAGATCCCTTATCTTTGCCCGTGGGGACGGGGCATGCTGCTTTGAAGCCATGTGCTTGTTGCCATAGAGTGGCCTGCTTGCGCCAACGTGTGTGACGTTCTGTTCCTGCCTCTGTCCAGACAGGAGACCAGCGAGCTCCTCTGTCTGCTCCACTACCAGCCAGCCTCAGGAACCCTGCTCATCCACCAGGTCCTCCTCCTTCAGTGCGGGCAGGTCCCCTCTGGAGCAGCCCAACTCTGTCACCCGCTGCCACATTCCCTCACCCAAAGACTCCTTCTCTCCAGCCAGTGAGATGAGTTCCAGCACCACGAGCCAGAGCGAGGACACTTGGATGGGGAGTCAGGATGATCCGCAGAGTGATGCTAACGATGGGCCGGAGTACCTGGCCATTGGGAACTTGGGGCGTCGGGGCCGGGCCTGCAGCAGCGCCAGCAGCAACAGTACCAACAGCAACAAGAGCAGCAGCTCCAACCTGTTCTCCTCCAGCAGCTCCCAGAAGCTGGACTCGGTCTCCTCCTTGGGAGAGCAGGGAGCGAGTGGTGGAGGTGGAAGCAGGGGCATGAGCCTGCTACGCCGGTCCAGCTTCTCGGAGGGACAGACCTCAGCTCCACAGAGCATCCTGAAGAAGAGCCACATGCGCTCGCACTCTGATACCAATGTGGCTTCGGGGAAGTTACATGGTAATGGGGCTACTTTTCTGGGTGTGGGGATTGGCTTTGGGGTATGGGCACAAACATGGGACGATGGCCTGTGAGAAGTGCTGTTACTGGGAGGCTGATGCTGGCTGCCACTTTGGCGCCATGTAACACAGGTCAGTGAGGGGACCTGTGGGTGGCCAGCTGGGAAGTGCGGTCTTTGCCCTTACCTTCCCTGCTATGTGCTGGAGAGGCTGGCTGACCTCTTGTTTCCCAGAATTCCTTGTGCCTGTCCGTTACTGGTGTTGGCAGCTGCCCTGTGGCCTTCCCCAGAGGCTTAGGAAATGGCAAGGATGCTGCGGCATAATCCGTCCTGCCTTCCCACTGACCTTGCCCAGCTGGTGTGTGAGGGCATGGGGCTGGGGCTTGGGCCTTTTGTCATCGTACTGGTAATTTGCTGGGTCTTCCTATGCTCTTGCGTGGGTAAAGACATTGGGGGAGGAGTGGGACACGAAGGAACAACTGGTTTGTTGAAGTCTGCCTGCTGGTGCTGCTTTCAGGTGAGAAATGCAGGTTCTTGTTGAGTGGTAACCAGTCTGTCTCTCTTTTCTCTCCCTTAATGCTGCCCTCTTGCTCCTCTGTGTCCAGGAGGCCTCAGGGATATCACCATTATAATAGAAGATCCAGTGGCAGGTTTGGGAGCAATATAACAGCCCTTCATCAGCAGTCATTGCGTTAAGTTCAGGATTTCCATCAACCCACTGATGTCCATCCATTTAGCAAAACAAATGAAATCTTTCTTCCCTAAGTCCCAGATGGTGCTTTGAAGGATGCCTTAAGTTTATGCATGCTACCTGACTGAGGATCCCAGCTTGGTTTTTGGGTGTAGTGGACCAGACCAAGAATGGCGCCTGGCTCTCCTGCATGGCGTTACGAAGTGCTGACCAGCAAGTCCCTGAGCTGCCTCCCCTTGCCCTCTCTTTGCTTTGAAATCAGGAGAGGTTTCATCTCTCATGTAGGGAATAAAGGCTCAGAAAAATGGGCCATTTTCTTTTGCATGCGTTGAACAGCAGTGGTACTCGGTTTGTCTGACTCACATCTGCTAGATACTGAGAGATCCGCGGCTAGAAAGGCTCCTTTCTGGAGGTAGCAGGAGGAGTGCAAACAGACCTGTGCCCAGCCCTACGCCCTGTTCCAGCTCTCGTTCCAGCAGAGGATCCCAGCCGCTGCCTCGCTTTGCCATTCAGCAGCAAGCAGTTCCCCTGTTATTCGTTTCGTCTCCAGGCTGGTGCTCATGAGGTGGTTTCCCTACTGTTTTTCGATAGGGTTGAGGTGGCTTTGGGTGATCTTGTTCATGTAAAGCCTGCCAGGCTGCTATGAGAGCCTCTCACCCTGGCAGGTCTCATTTGCATGGCTGCTGTCCTGTGACCCAGGGTGTGGGGTGGATTGGTCCCGAGCCAGGTTCTGGCAGCTGTTTCTTTGTGGTCTCAGCTGGGAGCTGCTGGTGTCGTTGGGCTCTGGAGTCTCTAGACTGATCAGGGCTATGGCACGAAGCTGGAGGTTAAGAGGGACAGGAGATGCAAAGAGCAATGTTTGCCCTTCTGTTGTTCTCAGGACGTCAGCTGGAGCCTCTCCATGTCCATGCCTGTATGTTCTCATTCTCATTCCCCTCCCGACTCTTTGCAGGATATTTTCAATCTCCTCCTTCACCCCCAGCTGCCTAGGCCTTCCCATCTGGCAGCAGTCCTCAAGTTGCTCAGTTGCTCTGTTTAGATGTTCTCCGGGGCCACTGCTCTCCCTAGAACAGCAGCGGTTCCTTATCTCTGACTAGGCTGGCTCGTGGCAGTCACTACTGGCTCAGCCTGGCGGCGAATTGCACCGGAGTGCGGGCATGGGGCAGAGCCTTGGCAGCAGCGTGTGTAGGTCACCTTAAGCACTTCAGCCCAGAGACTCTGGGGTTGTTAGTGACGGTTGTGTGCAGGGAACCCTGCCTTTTCCTAGCTGGGCGTCAGCGTGTCCTTCACGTGCCTCCTTCCACCTTTATCCAGGCTGCTCTTCAGGGCTGGGAGCCCCACAGATACCTGGGCTGCTCAGGTTTCCTTTTATATCCTGACTCCTTGCCCTGTGGGTAGCTCTTCCCTTTGAGATGCTCTAGAAGGAAGAAGAGGGGGCTGGTAGAGGCACTTGCCAGAGACGGTTGCGTTCCCTGGTTCTGCTAGGGGTTAAAGAGAGAGTGGCTCTGGACTTGACCGCTCTGTGGCTCTCATGAGTTTCTCTCCTTTGTTCCCCTCCTCGTCTCCTCTTCCTCTCGGTGGGATCTGGCTTTGGGGAGGGCTTCAGGGCAGTTTGTTCGTGCCTCTTAGCCATGAGCTTGCCTTTTACCTACCTGAAATGCCCCTTTAGCTTTGTCCTCTTTATGGGTTTGGGCATGGGCTTGTGGCCTGCTCCATTTCGTATCTGAGACCAGCCGAGTGGATGATTTCCCTTGTTGATTCCCATCCATTTGTGCGTGCCCCTGTGATGATGAGCTCGTTCCATTTCACACCGTACTGTGGGCTGGGATGGGTGCCTCTTGGATACTGATGTGTGCATGGTGTTGTCATCCCTTGTAGAGTCCCATGGTGACACAGGTGGAGGAAGAGGGCCCATATCTGGTTCCACCCAGAGCAGTGAAGTAAGCACACCCAGCTCCCTCTACATGGAGTATGGTGAGTACAGTGAGCCCCAGTGGGGACATTTGCTCATGGTAAGACTCCTCCGCGTGCTGTAGTTCCTTCAGCTTCTGGCACCTGCTTGTGGCATACAGGCACAGGGGAGGTGGCTCCGTGGTGAGCCAGCTGGGCTCTGGCAGGGCTTGTTTGTGTGGAGATAGCAGCCGGAAGGTCTGTCTAGCTCTGTGCTTCAATTAATGAAGACTTCCAGATAGGCTAGTATTTGGATACTCCCAGATACTGGAGAGTGGAGATACTGGAGATGTGGGCTTTGCAGTAGCCAGTGTGGGTCCAGCAGCGTTGGTGCTGATCAAGTAGTTTCAGGCTTTTTATCTGCTGACCCCTTTGGGTTGGGTGCTGCCTAGGACCATATGAAATCAAGGTGTCCTTGTGCTCCAGGTCAGACCTGGCCCCTGCCCTGAGGAGGCTTGCGGCCATGTTGTTCATTGCTCTAATATTGCTGCCTTCTCATGTCAGAGTCGTGGAGAAACAAGAGAGCATCTGGCAGCAGCCAGAAAAGTCAAGAAGCTGCAAATCAGGGCTTCAGGACTGTCTGTGATCTCCTGCTCTTCAGCTTAGGGTGGGACGTCCAGGAGGCCGAGTGATTTCAGGATACTTGCTGTGGGATTTTGTGTTGTCATCTGAAGGGGCTCAAATTGGTTCCGTTAGACACTAGGAGCACAGACCTGACCACTCTGTCCTTACAACAGGATGGACCAGCTGTTGGCTGCGTGGGCTTGGTGGTGTCTTAGTGCAGAGTGCAGGCTGTTTCCCAGTGCTTTCAGCAGAGGATTTCCAAGTGCCTCCCTGATATGCTTGTCTTTTGCTTTTCTAGACTCTGGCCAGTACCTGAGCTCGGGGGAAGGGATGTTCAGAAGACCTTCAGAAGGGCAGTCCCTCATCAGCTATCTCTCTGAACAGGACTTTGGCAGCTGTGCAGACCTGGAGAAGGTGAGGGAGACAGCAGCAGCCTGTGTATGTGGGAGAAAGTATTTTTACTGCAGGTTCAGTGATTCTTCCCTCCTTAGGGAAGATAATCTCACGGTATTTCCTGCCCTAGAACTGTGCACAGAACTTCTGTTTTGAATCTGTGGTCAGAGTTGCTCATTGGTATGCTCCTGTTTGCGGCAGCTTTGCAAGATGTTGTGGCTCCTTAGGGGCACCCCCAAAGTGGATGTGTTGTACATCCTTTTTGTAGGTTGCTCTGTGTGTTTTGCAAGAATTCTGGTGCCCGGGAAGGCTTGAGTTTCTAGGTCCTCATAGGAGAGTCAAGTTTCATAGGGTCAGCAGGGAACAAGGTCCTTTTACCACCCTCGAGGAATATTCCGCTCTTTCCTGCCACAGGTAGGGGATAATGTTCTGCCAAGAGTCCCCAGGTTCCCTGTGATACAGCCCTGAATGGTTTTGCCTCACAGGAGAATGCCCACTTCAGTATCTCAGAGTCACTGATTGCTGCCATTGAGCTGATGAAATGCAACATGATGAGCCGGCAGCTGGAGGAGGAGGAGGAAGACAGCGACAAGGAGATCCAGGAGCTTAAACAAAAGATTCGCATTCGGCGCCAGCAGATCCGCACCAAGCACCTGTTCCCTACCTGCCAGATGGGCTCAGACAGTGGGTGATGTCTTTTGGGCTCATCAACTGGTGGGATGTGGGTTTTCTGCCCGTTGCCTGTCCTTATAGCATCCTGCCTTCCTGCCTGTTCATGGGAAATAATCATATTGTTGCCAGGGTGCTGCAGAGATTTGCAAAACTCTGCTACTAGTGGAAGACCATAATGGGACTGATACTATACCCATGTAACACTTGTGCCATGGTAGCACTGAATTGGGAATACCTTTTCACCAGGAACCCACAGTATTTTTCACCCTTAACATCCATCCGTCCTTGCCTGACCCTGTCTGGGTATCAGCTTCTTCCTTAGCTGTCAGTGTCCTGTTCAGACTGCTTCCACTGATGGCCTGGCTGTGTTGCGTTTCCTTTGTCTTCCAGGCCTTGTGGCGACAGACAGCGGGTCCCAGTTCAGCTCCCATGGCTCCATGCGCCTGTCTGATTCGGGCTCTGCAGAGGATGTGGAAGAGTATGAGATCCAAGGTGAGAGGGAAAGGCTGTGTTAGGTGCTTGCTTAGAACCAGACTTCTCCTGGGTATGATTGTATTGAGGTCAGTCACGCTGAAGAAGAGCACGTTCCTTGGCCTTCAAGGTGGCTTTTTCCAAGCAAATGGCTGAATCCTGAGCATGAGCAGAGCAACCAGTTCCCCTCATGTGGTGGCATGACTTGCCTCTGAAATCTTCTATAATCCTTTAGTGTACAGCACCTCTAGCTTGTAGGTGGTTCTTGTTTCACTTGCCAGGTCTGCAGAGCTAGCGTCACAGGTTTAGAGGAGAGAGATGGGAGACTCCTTCTGTCCTCCTGCCCAGGCAGAAGTCATAATTTTGAACGCTTTTCTCTCAGGTGGGAGTAGATGATGCTGGCCATATCCTGACCTGTAATACCTGTGAGCTCTGTTCCTGGCAGCTTGAGTGACCAGACTTATTGCCTACAGGAGAGTTGTCTGAGTCCCTGGGTGTCCCTTTCCTTCAAAGCCTGGTTCATCCTCCAGGGTAGATGACTCATTTCTCAGCAGTACTATAAAATACAATAGGAGAAGACAGTGCAGTCCAGTCTCCAGCTATAAATTCTTACTCTTCCTGTCTCTGACTGCTGACAACACAGCCCTTGTTTCAGTCCCTGAGGGCTAGATTTTGGGCTCAATTTGAAGTCCATGGAGGGGTTATGTGAATTCTGTTCTGGGCTTCTCTCATGTGAGTGCTACTCTTGTGTTATGCCCTTTCTCTTTGGCCTGGCCAAAGCACTGAAGTGAACTATTTTGTCATCATCGTGTTATACAGATGGTAACGATGGATCTAACCTGATTCAAATGTCCAAGAACGGCCTCTCAGTGTCAATGGCTTCCTTGTTCTCAGGTAGTACCCCGTAGCGCTCCCTTGCGGCGCGCGAGCGTGTGTGTGCAAGGTGTGTGTGTGCGTGCGCACGTGCACACTTTTCAATGTGTCCCCTCTGGGTATCACAGGGAGAGCAGAGGCCTGGATCTGTGTACAGACATCTGAGGTGTTGAGTTCATGCTGCATCAGCCAATCAGCTTCAGACCACACACAAAATCACCGAAATTCACTGCCAGATGCTGGCTCAAGCCACTAGTGAGGGTATTTCTGCTGTTCTCCCTCACTGCTCTGTGCATGACCAGCTCCTTGTTACCTCTGGGATGCCTAATTTGGGAACTGTGAACGACGTCATCCAAGTAACAGTGGGAAAAGCTATGGAAGGGTGAGGTGTTGCAGGAGGGCAGAGAGGAGCGAGAGCGACTCTGCTCTGGGCACCATCTCTGGGGTGTGTTTTCTGTACAATATTTTGGATATATCAGGCACGCCCACTGTAGTTGCCTGGGGTAGGGCTCAGCAGGGCAACGATACAGGGCTCTGTAGCTGCTGAAGGCAGAGCCTGGGCTGGGTGAGTGCACAGTGCCTTTACGACGTGGGACCAGGTCTCCATCCCAGAGAGTCTCTCCCTCTCCAATGTTATGGCTTTGAGTGGAGCTGCCCTGCAACTCCCAGTGTAAATGAATGCTTCTCTGATCATATGCAAGACAGGGAGAGAGCCAGGAGGGAAGGAGCCTTGCTCTTAGAATGACCCTGCTGTCAGCTTTCACCCACCAGGCAGGCCTAGCACAGGCCCAGAGCGCCAGCTGGTGCGTTGGGGAGAGCTATTCTGCTCCACTCTGTGGAGCTGGGGTGCTCTAAGTTTGGTCTGAGCCACAGCCAACCCTTCCCATCCTGTTCAGACTTGCCTTAGGAAAGAATCCTTCCACAGGGAAGTCCTGGAAGGAAGAGCAGAGAGAGCAGATGGGGTGCAGGCATTTTATTCACAGTGGAAGCCCCGAATATTGGGATCATGCGCAGCCAGGTATCGCTTAGCCAGCGCTGCTGATCCATCCAGTCGGACATTCAGCGTCAGCGCGTTGCTCCTGCTGGACGTGATGGCACACAGAGCTGTCGGCCCTGCTGTATCCTATGTTTACAAGGCCTGTGGGTTCAATGCCAGGGTTTAATGTCTGCAGTTGAGGCTGGGGAGGGAGTGGTGGCATGATGCCAGTGCTAGTCCCTGAGGGAGACTAGGGTCAGATCTAGCTCCCTTTCCCATCCCTGAGATGATGCCAGGCCCTGCCCAAGGCCCCACCTGTAATGCTTGGCCCGTACTGTACTGCGTGTGCTCCACTGTTTGCTTGAGTTTGTCATAGTCTAGGACCATGCAGCGCCTTTCTGCACAGAGCTGAAGGCAATAGAGCATGGCAGATATGTCTGTCCAGTGTTGTACGTAGTTGGGAGGCTATGTTTGCCAAGTTCCCTGTTTTCTGCATCTAGAAATCTGTGTGATATAAATATGTGGATTGCTTAGCATTGGGATGCTTTCATGTGCCTGATTTTAGCAATGGGTGTCAAACAAGGAGGGTTAAGTGTCCATGCTGGACTCTGCTGGCGTGATGATGTAAATTTACTGTAGGGGCTGTGAAGGTTTACCTTGGTTCTTTGCATGTCTTTTCCCTTTCTGAGGTCAGCAGCATTTGAAGGCAGGTTTCTTGTTGCCATTCACACCTGCAGAGTACTCTGCCCTGCTCCTTTGGGAAGTCCTGCTCTGCTTTGTGCTAGGACAGCCCCAGAAGGCAGGCCCGCTCTCCCTGACAGCTCAGGGCGTTGGCTCTCTCTGCAGGGCTGGACTGCGATTTTGTGGGCCTCGGTGTGCAGCGGGTGCCAGGACGGGAACGGATGGGCACTGCGTGGGTCCATGTAGCCAACCTGCTCAGGACAGATGAGCAGAGTGACCCTAGAGCTATGCCTCCCCGTGCCACATGCTGAGCAGCTGGGTCAGGAGAGCAGCTGCTTGTGGCAAGCCTATGTTTAGATACAGGGTGGTCGCTGCAGATCCCATTCCTAGAGCTCCGCAGGGATGCAAGGAGGGGACCCGCTGGACTTGAGGCTGTGGCCTCTTTCCTGCCTTGACCTAGAATTCTTTCCCTTCACATCCCTTCCTCCCTTTTTCTGGGAGTTTGTCTCTAATGAAAGATGGTTTCTTTCCATTTATTTCTGTCTGCTTTGTACTGCTGAAAGAATCTCCTGTCCCAGGGTTCCTCTGCCATTCGGATAAATTCCCTGTCAGGGTTTAACGGTGAAACCTTCCAGAGTGACAGGTGAGTGATGAAGGTGTCGCTTGGAAACTGCTGTGGTACCTGAGGCCGGCACCAAGGAAGAGTATGTGGCTAGAGGAGTGGTGCAGTCCTGGGCAGCTGGAAAGCCGATGGATGGGTGGAGAACAGGACCTCACAATAGCTTAACTTGGACCCTCCCTCTTAGGGAGGGTGTGATGGGTCTGTGGCCTCTATAGAGGGGTGGCCCCTGTGGCTGCTGGCCAGTTCACTGCATTGATCTTGAGATGTCTCTCGAGAGTTGGGCTTAGGCTGCCAAGCCCCGTCATTGTGTGGATTGCTGATGAGCTGTGGCATGGCCAAGGTTTTATCTTACAGGTTGTGGTTAAGTAGAGAGAAGTGTTCTACATCCCATTGCTAATCCTCTGCATACTAAATATTGTTGCTAACCCTGCCGTTATGTCCTCCTAGCTCCTACTCTGTGTGCGTGTACTTTTTCAGGCCATATAACCTCTAGGACTTCGTGTGTGACTTGTACCAACGATCTCTTGTCATTCCCCAACCCTAGGTCCGCTGTGTTTTTACAGCATCCCCACGTGTCCTTCCCTTTCAACTCCAACAGGTGACTGGTTAGATTGCACCTCTCCTTGCTGCTCCTTGTCACTGGTAGAAGTTGATGCTCTAGTTTATGTGTTTCTAAACAGCTGGATGAGTTTTAAAGTGAAGCTTTGGCTTGAAGTGAGTGTATCCCCCTGCCCTGCCCTGCCTGCTCCACCTTGTACCTGTTTATGATTCAGATGCAGATATCAAGAGGAACCCAGCCTCCAGCAGGAAGTCCTTTCTCTCTTCGGAGTCCATGTACGTCTTCGACTCGTAGTGAGACATCTTGGTACCAAGTTCCCTTTCCTGCCCAACTCTGCTCTTCCATGCGCATCTGCTGTTGATTCACCTTGGAGCGGGCATCCTTCCCTCCCTCCCCACACTTCCTTAGGAGTGGGGTACAGCTGTGTCCTAGTCTTGAATTTGGGAAGCAGCACCTGGATTGGTCAGGATCAGTGGCATACTGCTTGGGCATGAGGTAGATACGTTGTGGGTTGGTGTCAGGAGAGATCCCAGTACCTCCTAGTAGGTAAGAGGCTGGGGAGAGGAGCTGGCATGATTTGGAGCAGTTATACTTGCTCCTGGCTTGCTGCTGAGCTCTGAGCTTCTGCTACCTTCCCACCTTCCCCTCTCTCAGCTGGGACACCCTGTTTGCCTGCGTGATGCTGCTGCCTTCTCTCCAACCCTTGCTGCTGTGCTGTGACCCAGAGGTGGAACTGCTGAGACGTGGCAGTGCTTCCCAATTCCCTATACAGTGCAACAACAGCTTAAACATTAAGCACTCGGTCCTTTCCTGGCACTGCCCCAGGGCAGAGAGGTGGGAGTTGTGGGGTGGTAAATGACAACCCATTTTAAGCATAGCTGCTGTGTTAATGCTCTGAAAACAAGACCAGTTGGGATGCAGAGATGCTCTGCGTGTTGGGTGAGGTGAAAAGCTTTGTTTCTGCTTGGCAGCTTCTCAGGTAGGTTAGTATTGTGAGAGCAGTTACTCCTGTCTCGTACAGACACTGGCTCTCACTTTGGAACTCCCCCTGCAAACAGGGCACAAGTTTAAGTTTCGTTAGGTGAGATATTTTTGTGCTGACCTTTCTAAATAGTTGCTAAAAGTTGCTTTCTAAACAAATAGGGGGGTTTATGAAGAGGGTATAGCTCTCAGATGCCCGGTACTGTCTCCTTCATTGTCTAGATCCCACTCCTTCCTCAATTCGAATTCGGCAGAGGCTGTGGCCATGGGTCTGCTGAAACAGTTTGAAGGCATGCAACTTCCAGCTGCCTCTGAACTGGAATGGCTGGTCCCGGAGCACGATGCCCCCCAGAAGGTAAGTATGGGGGTGTGTGTGCGCATGTGTGTGTGCGCGTGCACATGCAGAAGGGTGGCAGAGTCACTAGGACAGTTCCACAAAGGTATGTGGGCACTGTCTGGAGGTGCCAGGACAGAAGTGAGATGGCAGTGAAGCACACTGGGTGGAGAAGCGTACAACACAGAGCTCCCGCTGCTCTCTAGAAATCCCAAGTCACTGATTACATCCTGAACCCCTGGCTTTGCACCCACTTTGTGTCCACTGCCCAGGGGCTTTGCTGGTCCTGACGGTCCCTTTGTGGAGCTGGAGAAGGGAAGGTTTTGCTTAGGCTGTTTGTGTTCGCCAGAGCTGTGGCTTTGGCCTGCGACACTGTCGCTGTGTGGTACCTTGTACAGCAGCCGGTATCCAGGTCGGCTGCAAGGACATCTGGGAATGACAGCGGGTTGCAGGCAGGAGATGTGCGGGGTAGAGCTGGGGCAGTGGCTCAGTGGCTCAGCCTGCAACAGCTGCTCACTGGCCACTCTTGCGGAGTGCCTTGATGAGTTATTTGCTGTTGCTTTTCAGGGCCTGGGATGGTCTCTAAAAAAAGCTCTTTAGGCGTCCTGGCTGGTGTAAGAAAAGGCAGCTTTCCAGAAAGCTCCTGCTGGTATGTTGGGAGTGTACATTGTGCCTGGAGGGAGCATGCATGGACCATAGTGTGCACTAACTGTCTCAACTGAGCAGTGCCCAGCTGGGTAATGTAAGCATGTTCCCCTCTGGTGCAGAGGGCAGTTTGAAGGCAGGACTTTCTGCTGGTGGTGCCTAATACCAGTTCTCCTCCTTTGCTGAGGCCAGCTGGGAAGGCAAAAGGGAGCTTTGTCAGAGTCAGTGTAAACCTCCAGGACAGCCTAGACCACTCCTAGACCCTGCATGGCATCCCTGCTGTGCCTGCTCAGAGCCCTGCGGATGAGAGCATGCCGATCTGGGGCCTCTCGCAAATGAACATGCTGCCAATATGCCAAATGGTTCCTTTATTCAGGCACCAATGTTGGAAACGAGCTGTCAGGGTGCACTGGGGTCTGTCTGGGCACTCAACTGCAAAGGTCTCTCCTTTGGGCACTAGAGAAAAGAGCTATGAGCTGAAGAACTACTTAAAAAACAAGAGGTGTTTTCAGTGGTGTCAAGAGCTCCCTCAGAGCCACCCAACCCAACCCTGTGGACGAGACTTGTTCTCTGCACCGCTTGGAACATGTTCTCTTCTAGCGTTTTGCAGCCATGTCCTGCTGGGGAGCAGTGCCTTGGCCTTTTCCTACTAAAGTGTGCTGAGAATAACGTTGGCATCATGGCAGGGTGTGCCTGTCTTGTGCTCAGACCCTCCCCCACGTGGTTTCCTAGCAGCGGTTGCTGTGTTTCGTCTCCTGTAAGCCCAGGTTGCTTGTTGATGGGTACTGTCACAGGGCTCTAAAGGACTTGGGCTCAGTTGGTACTTTAGCTCAGCTCCTTCTGCCCTTTGTAGGGCCTGCTGTGCACCAGGACAAGGGAGGCTCTGTGCAGTGCTGTGGTAGGGACCGTTGCCTCTTCCCTCCCAGGGGGACACCACTGTCACCGCTAGGAGGTTAGCAGGGGAGTTTTGGTGTGCTGCTGCTGGCAGAGTGGCTGAGTTGTGATGAGCTTTGGTGTCAGTCTGAGGCATGTATTTACCAGAGGTGCAGCTCTTCTCTTTGCAATGCCCTGACTTGGGACTACAAGATGTGCTATCCCTCAATTACTGTGGCTGCACCTCTTCCTCCCTTGGCCCTGAACGCACCGAGGACATGCTCAGATCCCTCTGGAGTGGTCTGCTCTTTAAAGGCACTGCATTTACCATCAGTGTCTTCCACGCTGCTCGGTGCTGAGCTCTCCCTCAGACTGTTCTGCTTGCTTGTGACCTCATGCGCTGCAGGGCTGGAGCATCACAGCCTAGTGAGCTGAGAGACCAGCTCTGCCTGGGAAGCTTGGAGAGGCTTGCCCAGCTCTCTGGGCTGCCTGGAGAGTAGGAAGGGGGTGAAAATGCCTGGAAGAGCCCTTGTGGAGCTGGGTGCAGCAGAACTGGGCTCTGACAGCAGAGTGCTCAGTTCCCCAGGGAAATCCTTTCTGCAGCTCCTCCATTCAGCTGGGGCGGTCTAGTTTTGGGGCAGGTGTGGGCAATGGGTGCCAGGCTGTTTTCCTGTCCACAACCTCTGATTGTAGACACCTGTTAAGCCACCTTGTTGCATTGCCTTTGTGGTGCCAGGCAGCACTCTGACCCTCTTGCCTGCTTCTCCCAGCTCCTGCCCATTCCCGACTCTCTGCCCATCTCTCCCGATGATGGAGAACATGCCGACATCTACAAGCTGAGGATTCGTGTGCGTGGAAACCTGGAATGGGCTCCGCCGCGACCACAGATCATCTTCAACATTCACCCAGCCCCAACGTAAGGACCTGCATGGCAGAGGGCTCCCCAGGCACCTGCCCTTTCCCATCAACACCAAAGTTGATTATTTTCTCCTTCCCGCTTAGCATGTGGGGCTGCTTTCTGCTCTTAGCCCGACAAATCTGCATTCAGTCACCTCTGGCAGCTGGTGCTGCAAGACAGAGCCAGTGATGGCAGCAATGCCTTTGGTGCGCACTGGGGCACAACAGGGGCTTTTCACCTCTTTTGAAGTATTTTCTACGCTTGAGTGGCAAAGGGCATGGCTGCCTCTGCCAGCTGGAGCTGTGCCAGTGCCAATGCTCTGGTGCCAGCTGCTATCAGTGCTGAATTTGTCTTTTCTTGTCTCTGGGCAGGAGGAAGGTGGCTGTGGCCAAGCAGAATTACAGGTGTGCTGGCTGTGGCATCCGGACTGATCCTGGTGAGTGCTCGGACCCTGACCCACAACTGGAAAGTGGGGAATAACCTATGAACAAGTTGGAAGACACAGGGTGGGTAGACCGTGGCAGAGATCAGCACAAGGTCACTGGGAAAATGGTATGCTCTTCCCCACTATCATTTCTCAGGCCTTTCCCAGCTCTGCCTGCAGGTCAAAGTGTACCACCCACAGAGGAGCCTCCTTCCCTAGGAGGTCATGGGCCTAGGGGAGGCAAGAGCAGCCAACCTGCCCTTCTGAGGGTGTTATAGATGTTGACTCCTCTAAGGCAATATCATCCGTTGGGGTCCTGTAAAGCGAGGGGCTTTGCACACTTTGTATTGTCTGGTAGACTAGTGGGTCTACAGTGGCCGTGGCCACAAGTTTGGGTTGCAGTTTTCGTGCATCTCTCTCAAAGCTGGTTTGGCTGATGGGCTGTCCACAGAGCTGTACTGTTGCAGTGCTGATCTGCTGTGGGTACAGCTGCAGAGCTCTTTGAAGCAGCCGCCTTTTCTAACGGTGTAGGTAGATTTGGCTGCATGTGACCAATAGGCAGGTTGCAGGCCCAGAGACTTTTTGACAGTCTGCAGAGGTACTTGCACTGGTGAGTGGTCTGAGGCTGGAGAAGGGACTGGCAAGGCTGCCTTGCCTGTTGGAAACTCTGAGCAACGCTGGAGTCAAATGTGTGCATCAGCTGCCCCTCAGCTGATTTTTTTTAATCTCCTTTGGCTCGGCTAGACTACATCAAGCGACTGCGATACTGTGAGTACCTGGGGAAATATTTCTGCCAGTGCTGCCACGAGAATGCCCAAGCAGTCATCCCCAGCCGCATCCTGCGCAAGTGGGACTTCAGCAAGTATTACGTGAGCAACTTCTCCAAAGACCTACTGAGCAAGATCTGGAGCGACCCACTCTTCAACGTGCAGGATATCAATGCTGCCCTGTACCGGAAGGTGAAGTCTCTCAACCAAGTGTGGGTAAGACTCCTTCCTGTACATTTCTGAGAAAAGGAGTGGGGTTTGGGTGGAGTGGGCAGCTGTGTTCACTGCTCTGGTTTTATTAGCGAGTCCTTCCCTAACAGCTTCTAACTGCTATTTCTGTAGTGGACTTTTCTCTGAGATCTCAGAGCTTGGTAAAAGGAGCCAGGTAGCATGGGGGAGCATGAGAGAGTGGATAAATGACTTTGTCCAGCATGAAGCAGCAAGTGAGTGGCAGAGGTGGAAAAAGTCCGTCTTGACATCTCCATCTGGTCTGTCTCCAGTTGTGAATCACCTTCTGGAGAAGCTGGGGAGAGGCAGATATTTCAGTTTTTGAGTCTTAAAAGCCTCTGCACTGTATATTTTCCATTTACATCTTGCTCCCTGTGCCGTAACATAGAGTGGGAAGGAATTTGTCTGGTGTGCAGCTGGACCTTGGCTTACTCCCTGGAGCACGGGGATGGCTGGTTGTACTCGCTTTATTGAGCCTAGTGTAAACACTTCCATACTAGGAAACTGCAGCTGAGGAGCAGCAGCAGTCATCTCACCAGAGCATGAAATGGAGCACACATGTTTAGTTAAGGCCTAACTTATGCTCTGTTTACCAGTTTTGCACCCTATCTTCCTTAACAGCTGCTGCGAATCCAGCTCTTCCACATGAAGAACATGTTTAAGACCTGCCGACTGGCTAAAGAGTGAGTCCCAGGATGCAAGTTTAAGCTGTTTTGGTGTCCTATATCTGTCCCATGGTGTTTTGCAATGGGGATCTCTGCAGACTGTGGCTAAACAGGGTCTTTCAAAGTCTACCTCAACATCTCTGGAACGGCTGAGATTTTTCCTTTTGAAGTGCTAGACCTCCAGGGGGACTGTGAGCACTGGTGAAGCCCAGTCCAGGGGAGTGCACTGGGTCCCACTTCATCGATGGCAGCTGCAGTGGCTGGAAGGGAGCTGATTCAGGGTCTTGTTGGCACCCCTCACTTCCTAAAGGCCTCCTCTTTTGTGATACCTGCTCTGTACCTGCCATTCCTGGGATTAGGAGGGCTGGGCTCTTCCTGGGTTGCCACCACAAGTGTCTGGATAACCTAAGATACCCAGAGCAGCAAGCCTGATTCTTCCCTGTGGAAGAAAACACAAACCACTGAAACCAGCAGGGATATGTGATGGTGGCTAGAGAGTATCTGAAGGCTCAGGACAAGGCAGTGTCCAGAGTTGGCCCTGTTTGTGCTCCTCTTATGCCTCTCCAGCTCACTCGGACCCTGCAGACTAAAATGTTAACTGTTCTGTCCCTGCTGCTTGTTGTCAGCTGTGCCAGGTCCTCCAAACCAAGAGGTGCTCGGCCCCTCTCTGATGCTGTGGGACAGTTGTGCTGCAGCAGCCAGGGATGGGGGCAAATGAGCAATGAGTGAGGAGGTGGGTGGAGGGGAGAGACAAAGCAGAAGCAGTCGAGAGAGAGGACTGAGTTAGTGGAGTCCCTTCGCTCTGAGCTCTGGCTTCCCTGCCCTCACAGCCTCCTAGACTCCTTCGATGCGGTACCTGGCCATTTGACAGAGGATTTGCATCTGTACTCCCTGAGCGACCTCAGCGCAACGAAGAAGGGAGACTTGGTGCCTCGCCTGACGGAGCTCCTGAAGGCAGGCAGCCTACACGTTCAGAAGTGCATGGTAAGGCAGCCCCCTAACTTGCCTCCCACACAGCATCCTCTGGAGCGCTCTCTGGAGCAGGCTTTGCTGCATGAATAACCAGTGGGGAAGCCTTTGACTAGCTGGACAACCACAGAATTAACCGAGTTAACAGAAAGCAGCCCCTGCCTGTTCTACAAAGTTACCACCTGGCATGCGCACATTGTTTCTTACCCTGGTTTGACTCTGTCCCCTGACACATGCTGATTCTGCCTTGTGCTCAGTGCTGGGGAGGGACAGTCCCGCTTGGGTAGAGCAGGGCACTGTGTCCTACTGCCTAGCTCCTCTCTACTTCCCACTTGGCTTGCCAGGGAGATGAGCATTTGGCCACTTCTTCACCCTTTCTCCTTCTAGCTGTGCCAAGCCAAAGGCTTCATCTGTGAGTTCTGCCAAAACGAGGATGATATCATCTTCCCCTTTGAGCTCAACAAGTGCAGGACGTGTGAAGGTGAGATGCTGGGGAGAAACAGGGAGGGGACAGACCCCTGGGCTGGTGACGTTTCCCACTTTGTTTTCAAATGACCTCGGTGCTAGCAAGAGGTACTGAGCCAAAGATGGACCCAGCCAGACCAGATGCTTCTGTGTATGGCTTGTTTTCTCTGCACTGCTTTATAACACCAGCAGATCAGCATTATAATGACGTTTGGCCAGAGTTGCTGATACGGTGGGGTATGTAGCTGCCTTCCTGACTGTGCAGTGTGCTGCCTTCTGTGTAACAGCTCTGCCCTGCAGCAAAGCACGTGCTGTCAGTCACTGCAGGGTTGGGGTTGTGACTGCAGCAGGCAGGTGTCCTAGGAGCCTTCCCTTCCACTGCGGTTATGGGACAGGCTGCAGCTCGGATGTCGCTTCACTGCCCCAGTTTGGACGGCCATTGCTGGCTCTGTAGGTGGCAGAGGAGGGGCCTGGAGGCTTTGTCTTTGTGCCCTTCCTGCCTCAAAGAAATCTCCAGGCCTCTTCAGAAGTGATCCTCTGTAATGCCAGTGCTAATGGCCAAGCATTTCTCTGCATGTTGGGACCAACCTCTGAAATGCCTTGAAATGACTTCTACAAAATGCAAGCCTTGATTTGGCAAGTACAGTGCCAGGGAAAAATCTGGCAGGGTCACTGTTTCCCTGTAGAGTCAGGAAAGCTTGGGAAGGGACCTCATGAGAAGCAAAATACCTTGTGTGTATGCCCAGAAGGCCTTTCTAGCCAACACAGGGACACTGCGATGTGGCTTCTTGCTGCCTCCAGAACTGTGCGGGACTCCCACACTTCTGATGCTTTTTTTGCCATGGCTTTTGTTTTAAATGTCCTCCTGGACAAGTCTGGAGCATCCCTCTGCAGGGTATAGGCAGCCAGGCAGTCTGTCAGGCATGTGCCATCCCTCATCTGTCAGCCACACTCTCCCTCTCTTCCCCACAGAGTGCAAAGCCTGCTACCACAAGTCCTGCTTCAAGTCCTCCCAATGCCCCCGCTGTGAGCGACTCCAAGCCCGGAGAGAGCTGCTGGCCAAGCAGAGCATGGAGTCCTACGTCTCCGACTATGAAGATGAGCTGGAGCAGCAGGAGGCGGTGGCGGCCACGTGAGCATGTCGCAGTGGAGGAGCAGATAGTGGGTTTAATTATGCCTGTGGCCTTCGTCACCAGAGACTGAGCAGACTCTGAGCCAAATGGACTCGCGATAAGGAGAACCAGTGGGAGGGCTGGCTTGCTGAGTGCCTGCAGCCCTGTCTCAAAGGGATCCATTTTCTCCTATGCAGCAGTGCTGAGCTGGGGAAGGGGGATCTTCCATCTTCCATCTTGGTCTACTCAAGGTACCAATTGCACCCGCCGATGCCTTTGTTTGGGGAAAGGCAGCTGCTCCTGTCTGTCCCGCAGGCAGAACACGGGCCTTTACCAAGCAGTTGCTAGTGTGCCTCTCTGCACCCTTCCCCTTTGGGTGCTGCTGGGCTAGGCAGGGTTGTGCCGCTAGTCCCCGTGCCCTCGTCCCCAGGCACAGCCTCCAGTGGGGTCGGCACTTTCTGCTCATCAGCTGGATGCTAAAAGCTCTGGCCGTGTCTCCTCCCTGGAGGGGGAATCGGCTCTCTGACTTCTTCCATCCTGTGCCCTGCTGCTGGTGTGTGTCCCACCATGGGACATGTATGTGGAAGGGGGTTGGGTTTTGGTGGTGACTGTGGATTTAACAGCTTCCTTCTTCAGATCTGGCTTGGGAGTGGGCAGGGGGCCTTTACCTGCCAGAGACCAATTGCTGTCACTGCAGGCAGATTCGCGTGGCAGGAGAGTGCAGTAAGTGAAGCAAGGGGGGATCCTTGCCCAAGCGAGCTGTGTGGTGATGGGATCCAGCGCCCAGCTGCTCTGCACATCCCTTCCTTCTCTCACTGCTGGTCTGTCCTCCTGGGAGATCACGTCCTTCTGTAAGGGTGACGTGTGACCTCACCCCTGGCAGTGGCAGGAGGACCTGCCTGGCATGCAGGGATCTGGTGCCTGGGATTGGCTGGGATGCGTGCAAAGTTTGTTTTTCAGCCCTCTGGTCGCCTCCTCCCAGGCTCTGTCTGAATTTGTTCTTTTAGGTTGTTTCTTTTTAATTTACTGGATTTGGTTTTAATTTTTTAATTCGGCTGTTTGTCTTTTTAACTGCTTGTTCCACTGGGAGGTGGTGCTTGGAAGGCTTCCATAGAGGGCATGCGATCTGCTTGGGCCTCTCACTGATATAAAAACCTGCAGAGCTTTTCTACTCCCTGCAGCTTGTCCCTGAGCAGGACTGGAGTTGCCAGGGGTCCCCTCTCCCCACAGGTATCCTGCTTCCTGTGGGGAAGGGGTCCCTGACCCAGGCAGAGCCTTGAGGCTTCCTGGCTCCAGTGCAGCAGGGTGACCGGGCTGCCTGCCTACAATGGGAGCACACTTGGGAGAAGGGTTTGGGAATGGGATGTTGAAAGTCGATCCCTCACCGACACAGAGCTGGTCTGCCATGACCAGCGGCTCTGGGTGTTCAGACCCTGCAGCACACAGTGAGCGCTGCACTGTGGGCCAAGGGGTCTCTTTAGGAGGTGTCTCTGCATCACAGGGGGGGATGCTTAGTCTCATGGCATGGGAGGGAAGAAGAATGCAGGCAGGTGTCCAGCACAACCTTAGCACCTGGTCTGCCTGTTGTGTTTTGAGGAAGAACAGTTTGGCGCGTGTACGTGCGAGAAGGGTGCTGAGGGACAGGGGGGCAATACACTGGCAGAAGGCATGTATGGGCAATAGCTCTTGCAGCACATGCCCTTGCTCAAGGCTTGGATGTGGTCTCCTGTGGGCTGCCCCTGCTGAGTGATGGCAGAATTGTAGGGGAGAGGCTGGGATGCAGAGAGCTGGCTGCCAGGCTCAGTAAGGGAGAGCAGGTGGAAGGCGAAGCCTGCCTGAGCGAGAGGTGCGTGGAGGAGCAGACATCCCAAGCCTCGCTAGAGGGGGACAGGCTGTTTCACAGCAGCATCTCTGCCATGCTGCCTTGCTGGAGCTTGTGGAGCCCTAGTGTGATGGAGCAGGCCGAGATCTTGCAGGGACACAGCCATGTGGGCCCAGGTGAGTGGTAGCAGCTCTCCAGGGTGGGATGTTAGCAGCTGTAGTGGAGACTATTCTGTGTCATAACTCATGGGTGCAGCCTATTCCTGGGGGAAATTGCACCAAAAGCTGCAGCTCTGGCACGGGCCTCTTTCTTTGAGGAAGTCACCCCTAGCTCTGCCCTTGCGTCTTAACCGAAGGGAAGGGAGGCTGGCTGCTCCGAAGCGTTCTGGCAAAGCCAGGCTTGGCTAAATAGCAGCTCCAGTGGGCCTAGCATGTGAAAGGCAGTTTAGTTCCCCACCTCCTCGCCTGTTTTTTTGCCTCTTTCTGCCTCTGTCTTACTTGTTCTCCCCAGGGGAGTAGCTGTTCTTTTGCTCATTCTGTTTCAGCCAGTGGGCGTTCACCAGCCAGAACGCTGCAAGCCCTGGGGCTGCCAGCAGCTGGTCCCACCTTGCCAATCGAGAGCAATGCCTCCGTTCTTGCCTGCTCGCTCTCTGAGCTGACCCCACATGCTGCCATCCAGCTCAGCAAAGATTTGTGACAGCCTCCCTGCCTCCCAAATATGTGTGAGCCAGTATTCCCCCCCGCTCCTAGGAGCTGGCTCAGAGCAATGCAACTTCAGCCGCGCTGTTTTGTTTGAAGCACTTTAATGTCGTGGGACACTGGCCGAGACACTGCCCACGGCTGTTTCTAAAAGCACTGAGTATGTTTAGAAAAGTGAATGGATTTTGGTTTATTTGTATTTTCCACCCTCCACTCTGGGCTCTGTCTGGAAGCACCAGGGACCGCCAACACTGGTGGAGGTCTCCAGCGCAGGGTTATGCACAACACTAACACTGCTGCTTTTCCCATGGCAGCACAGCACTGACTGATAGGAGTAACACTGGAAATCGTCAAGGTGCGTGAGCTCTTCATAAGTAGAGAACAAGGGGCGGCCCTGGCACTTGAGTGGAGCCCTCCCCACTGGACTATTGCACAGCATAGCAACGAAAATGCCGTCCCTAATAAACTAAGTTAATAAGTAAGAGGCCTGTCTGTGTTGTGGCAGATCACTTTGGGTGGAACGAACTGTTGGCATCCCCTCCTGGGGGTCAATGCTACAGTGCTTGTTGGCTGTGTGGTAGGAAGGGAGGAGGGAGCAGGATGGGGTAGCTGATGACAACAGCAGGCTGTAAGGGAGCCCTGACTTTGCGGGGGGGGTGGGGGGGGGGGGGCAGCCTGTGCGACTGGTGATGCATAGCCAGGTGGGGGAGCCCATGGCTGAGAAGGGGTTATTGTCACCACCCCTTGACTAAGCCATCTGGTTTGCAGCACCTCTTTGTAAACTGCCTGCTGAAGTAGGGGCTGCTGGCAGGCGAAGTGAGCTGTTGAGTAAGAGGCTCTCTGTAACACATCCCCTTTCTGGGCTTTTCTTTACTGCTGGCAAAGGGGCCCAGTGGCATGGGCTTGGCCTGAGTCCAGCTGCCCCTTCCCTGCTTGCATCCCTGCCCCATGCAGCAGTGCTGCATGTTGCTCCATAAACACCACAGACACAGGAGCTGGGGACTGTAAACTTTAAAACAAGAGGGCAGTAACTCTGTGGGAAATGCGTATGCAACCCTCCACAGCACTCACTCTGCACCGAGTGAAGCAGGGCTTCTCTGGGGGTGGCAGGCAGGGAAGCCGCTAGGAAGCCTGGCACAGTGAGCTGGGTTTGTTGCGCTTTTCCCCAGAAAGGCCTTGCTCAGCAAAAAGCCAGGCTGTGGTTACAGCAACAAAGGAGACTTCAGCTTACTCCTGAGCACAGCTGCTGAAGAAGTTTTCCGACAGGTCCTGGCATGCTGAGGATGGAATCTCACAGACACGAGTAAAGCTGTGACAGCTAAACTGCCCCACACAGCCCCCAAGAAGGCTCTAGCATAGCTGCCCTAGCACAGTAGCTCTAGCAGGGATGTAATGCCAGACAAAAGAAACCTGCCAACACCCTGGCACTTGCTGCTTTCTGTAGTGTCTCCTCCACCAGCACCCAGGGCAGTCCCTGGTCAGAGGGCAGGGTATGAGCCAGCATCTTGGCAAAGGCACCGTCTGCCTCAAGCACTGAGGAGCACAAGCAATCATGAGGCACACTTGGTCCATGATCCTGTTTGCATTCTGGGCACTGCAGTACCATTCACTTTTTGAGCTTGTGGGGGGCGTAGCGACGCTCAAACTGGCTCACGTCAAACTTCCTCTTGCAGCCGGCATAGTTCATGTAGCGGATCTTCCCGAACACAGCCCGCTCTGCCCAGCCCTGGTCGTGTATGCCGCAGATGGACCAGAGGCAGCCTGCCGGACACAGACACAGAACAGCAGCTCTCCCTGGCGCTCAGAGGTGCCTGGGTAGCCAGAGAGCAGCCGGGATGTGGGAGCAAAGGAAGAGAGGAAGGAGGGAGCAGGGACGAGAAGGGGTGGGTTCTTCGCAGAAAGCTCCGCTCACCCTTCCTTGGCCAACAGAGGCAAGACCCCCCCGCCCCATGCCCCCTTCTGCAACTTGCCTACATATCCGTTGGGGTCCCTCCCGTCCAGCTCGTAGCGATCATTGAGGTAGATGGCAAACTGCAGAGCCTCCTCAGGGGAGCGGGTCCACTCCAGGATCTTCTTGGCCCAATACATCCGCAGGAAACCATGCATCTTGCCCTCCCGGACCATTTGGAGCTGTGGAGAGAGGGATAGCCTGCAGGGGTGGGTTCTTGCCTGTTCCCCTGTCCTCTTTGGGAAAACTTGGGGCCCTAAGGTGCTGCTGCAGTACAGCATCCACCTACCCACAGGGCCAGGCTTGTGTTGGCAGCCTGGTCGGGAAGGGCCATACCCAAGTAAGTGGCTTCTGACCACCACAGTGGGCATCCCTCCCTGTGGTCTCTCCTAACCCTTCCTAAGCAGCTCCAGGGTGCATTCAAACCTCTCTCCTCCTTACCTGGAAGCAGGTGAAGAGGTGGCAATACAGCAATGCCCAGCTGTAGGGTCAACCCCCCACCCCCAAGCTTTGGGAGCATGAGATCTCTGTCGGTCCCAGGCAGACAGCACGGCTGCAGCCCGTTTGGTGGGTTGTGAGGTCTCGGGAGGGGCTGCTCAGTATTTCAAGATGGAAAGATATGTGGCACTACCTGGGCAGCATTCCAGAGTGGGTCATGCGTGTTCCCCTGCTCTAGTTCCTGCAGCTCATAGAGAAAAGGCCTCTTGTCTTTAGCATGGAGCTTCAGAGTGGTTTGCGCCCAGTCGTAGGCACCTGTGAGGCAGAGAGACCAGAAGACACACTGAGCCACCTGATCCTTGCAGGGCCCCAAGAGAGCGATGGGGAAACAGGCCGCTGGGGGCACCGTGCACTGGAGACACCAACCCCATAGGCAGCCCTGGAAGAGGTGGTTTCTCCATCTCTCTGTCACAAGGTATCAGCAAGCTCCTGTCCTACATCCAGAAGGTACCAAAGGATGGCACACTACTGCCCCCATGGCTCCTCCCCTAGCAGAAGTGGGGGATTGCAGAGTTGGGGTGACCACAGCAGGAAAGAGGCCTAGCCCCCAGTGTTCCCCACCTGTCCCTAGTGTGCTACCTTGAACACTGTCGTAGTTCTTGTTGTAGTAGCAGAAGTTGTCAGCCAGCTCCCGCCGCACCACAGCCTCCTCCACAAAGATGTCCACAGACTCCTTGTACTTCCTGTGGTGTTTCCGCACCTCCAGGATGGCTCGCTGAGTGGAAACCTGGCCTGGGAACCAGGGGAGGGAGCAGGTCAGGCTGCCAAGCTGAGCTGCTGTGCTCAGCCCTGCTGCTGCATAGCGTCTCCACTTCTACCCTCAACCCTGCACACAGGGTGGGAAGCCGGGGCACTCACCAAAGTGGAACCACGGTGACAGGTTGCTGAGAGCTGCCTTGTTGGGGTCATTTCGGTGGGAGCCGAAGGATTCCAGCCGCTCGGCAATGAAGGACTGCAGCACAGCCAGCCCTGCAGCAGTGCCAGGGGTTGCCCACTCCACCTCCTTCACGGTGCGGTCCACCTGCAAGCTGGAATAACAGGCCTCCCAAGCAACGGGCTGGGCAGCAACCAAGCAGCATGAGCGCATTTGCCATATAAGAGTTGAGCTCCAAAAGCTGGCGCTCTTCAGCCAGTGCTGCTTTGAATATGTTCCCTGGATGTGCTCTTAGGACTAGCCCCAACTAATGAGTCCCCAACCCATGCCAGCCTTCTATAACTAGCCTTGCATCCACTCAGCCCAACTGCCTCCAGTTAAGAGCTGAGACCTGCTTGTTGCCTGGTAGAATGGGGTGGGAACCTGCCGTCCCCAGGGTTGGCCCTCAGC